ATTCAGGGCATGAAGTTCCACCAGCGTTCTATCCAGCAAACCAACTGCCTTTCGAATCACCTGTCGATCGTAAGCACGGTCTCGCTCACGCAACTCATCCTGTTGACTCAGTTCAAATTGAAGGTCAATGTTGTGTCCTTCAGCCTTGACGGTCCGGTCGGTGAGTCTTCTCCGATCACGCTTCAAATCCAAAATGGTATCCTCAGCTTCCTGCAGGCGCTGTCGCACGTGTTGCGTCGCGCGTCGCCAAATCAAAAAAAAAGATTCCAGAGAGCAGTGCCAAAAACACGGCAAATGAAACCAGCAGTGGCCACCATGACTTGTCTGCACGGTGGTACGCAAACTCTTCAGCTGCTTCGCACTGTCGCGATTCCAATCCAGAACCAAATGGCACCAAATCTGTGCCGCCAGAAATCATCGGCAAAACTGCTGCAAGAAGAAATTGGAAAATGGGGCGCGCGCCATGGCTCGGCCGGGCAAAGGTCTCCTCAGAAACTGCCGCATACTCAGCCATCATGGCATACTCAGAAATCTCGACATTCTCAGAAACTATGGCATCTTCAGGGACCGTGTTATTTTCAGGGATCAGGTCATTCTCATCAACAGCATTTGAGACCGGGGACATGTTATACACAGGCACGTCCTCATTGGCTGCGTTGTGGTTGTGTGAAGGTTGGTTGTGGTTTGTTGTAGTTGTAAACTCATTCCTGCTTTTCGCTCTCTGAGCTGCTGTCTTCTTCTTGGAGGCGGTATAGCCAGGATCAAAAGTGAATTTGATCGCACCATGTCTGATTCGATCGGCTAGCAGTTGGCGGGCTGCCATTTTTGTAAAGCCATCTCCAAACTGCCGCTCAGAGGAAATCCAACGTAAAACACCTCCAATACCTTCTACCTGCTCTTTAATCACTCTCAACTCCAAATTCGTGCGCTTGTCGGTCGCACCATGGTTGATTGCGTCTCTGTGAAAAGAATCATATTTGGTATTGTTTGTGTTCCTGTTGTTGTCGTTGTTGTCGTTGTTGTTGTTGTTGTTGCTGCTGCTGTTGTTGTTGTTGTTGTCGTTGTCGTTGTCGTTGTCGTTGTCGTTGTCGTTGCCGTTGCCGTTGTCGTTGTCGTTGTCGTTGTCGTTGTCGTTGTTGTTGTTGTTGTTGTTGTGTGTTGTGTGTTGTGTGTTGTGTGTTGTGTGTTGTGTGTTGTGTGTTGTGTGTTGTGGTTGTGGTTGTGGTTGTTGTTGTTGTTGTCGTTGTTGTCGTTGTTGTTGTTGTTGTTGCTGCTGCTGTTGTTGTTGTTGCTGCTGTTGTTGTTGTTGTGTGTTGTTGTGTGTTGTTGTGTGTTGTTGTGTGTTGTTGTGTGTTGTTGTGTGTTGTTGTGTGTTGTTGTGTGTTGTTGTGTGTGGTTGTGTGTGGTTGTGTGTGGTTGTGTGTGGTTGTGTGTGTGGTTGTGTGTGGTTGTGTGT